TAGTAATACTGCTCATAGTCATCTTTGGTATCGATAGATGATATTGTGTGCTTTATTTGTCGCGAAATAGGCGACCCTAAGTGCATCAATTGGAGACGATAACGAGATCATCTGGCTGGATGACCTGAACTGCCTCGGGAACGAGACCTCTCTGTCCCAGTGTGCTCATAATGTCTGGGGAAACCACAACTGTAAGCACGAGGAGGATGCCGGAGTCGTCTGCTACGGTATGTCAGCTCTTTTTAAGGTTGTTGAACATGTTATTAGTTTTATTGCCTCCGGGGTAGGAGACATCCTTCAGCGAAAGGGCTTTGTGAGAGATTTAGATTTTTATGTTCGCAGCTGTTTCTCGCGTTTGGGCGGACGGATTCTTTTGGGACTCGGTATATGTTTTGCTTTTGGGCTGCAGATGATGCACGTTCTTTTGTTTTAATTGTATATGTGTTTTCGAGCGTGAAAATGGTGCCTTTTGGTGGCCCCAGGACACCCCTTTGAGCGCGAAAGTTGTCGCGACCGTTGACCTTTGGCGTGTGTCAGGTATGGGTCGGTCTCGTCCACGAAGCTGACCTCTCGCACAGTGGGGTGTGCGGTCTCGATAAATTCTTTGTTTAAAACCCTAGTCCTGCGGGGCCCTGAGGCGCGCAACAATTGTTGTTGTGCACATGCATCTTCTGTATGCGAGGCGCAACAGTTGTTGTTTGGAGGGTATTTTTAGTACGCGTTCACAGGACGCGTGATCGGTAACTTCCGGGTGGGCCAATGGGTCAGGGTCAACGTCCTCTTGCGCAATCTTTGTTTTGGATGTTTTCGGCGTATATTACGACTTCTTAACTTACAAATACTGCGATATACTGTCTCAGACGTTCTCGACCTGCATTTTTACCGTGGGTACATGTTGTGGGCTGCAGATGAAAATGTTGACCTCAGTTTCGGTAGTATGGGGAGGGCTACCTGCGTCTTTCCCTCGATTTACCTGCAAAAACGTCACAACCAGGAAAGCTAAATCTCACACATAAAATTCAGCACCATCAACTATACATAACAAACAACATGTAAAAATATCCACTAAAACCCTGGAGGTATAAAATCTCAGATTTTACTTGTTTACAAACTTAAATCGACTTGGAATTGACATCATGTTAAGTTTTTTTGTTAAGGACTTATTTTATTCCCGACGCCCTACAGACTGGAGGTCAGGATTCTCGGCAGGCCTCAGCAGCACGATTAGCTCATCAGAGACTAACGTCATCTTCAACACCATCGACGCCAACATCGGTGGCCACTATGACCAAACCTCCGGGAAGTTCCGGGCTCCAATCGACGGATACTACATGTTCTTCTTTACTGGTCACATACAGTCGAGTAATAACATGTACATAGACCTCATTATAAACGACTCAGTGTATAAGGATAAGTGGGTGTATGATCAGTATAACACGGATAGCTACGACACTGCTAGTAACAGCATTATCTTGCACCTCAACATGGGAGACGAAGTTAACCTCAGGCTGCACAGTGGCTACTACTTGTACGGTAGCAATCGCTCTTCCTTTTCTGGGTTTTTGTTGTCTGCCGTTTAGGCCCACAACATGTTTAAAACACGAAAGGTCGCAGATCAATGCTGTGTACATGTGCACGTATGTACATGAAAATGACATCTTTGATATGTCCAGAAAAGCATATCATCCCAAGAGTTTCGTGTCTGTTTCTTTCCTTTCTGTCCTCGTTGTTTTAACTAGGTACATTAATTGCACAGTCAAAGCTTCTCGTTTTATATTGCTTTTAGAACGCTAGTATAATTCATTCTATTATCACTCACACCTCCCTCGTTAGGTTAATTTGCGGCTAGGCTCAGCTGACCATTTGAATAGTATTGACTTTACGCGATGTTTTCAGCTCTGAAAGAGGCGCTCATATTAGTGAAGTTACAGTGATTTCTTGGTCTCACCGACATTCAATGCAAGTTTGCTGACTTTGTTACAGTCCATGGCCGCGGGTCGTCAACGATGTGCTTGTGCTACAGTAAAGGTAATAGTTAGTTGGGGCGTCGTGCAATCGGACAGAACCCCCCCCCCCCTAGTTACTGAAGGCTATCATTCCAGCCCTCGCCTATCTTGAATTTAGACCGCGTCGCGTTAATTTTTAGTTTTATCTCATCAAGTACGCGTTACTAATACGTGGAAGGACAGTAGCTGCAAACACACCACTGGCAGAAATAATTACTCAAGACTATTTTTCATGAGGAAGAAAATAATGATATTCACAATCCAAAGCCTTCGTGAAATATAAGTTCCATAATGACGTTAATACTCATGAAGAGCAGTCAAGAATGTGTGGCAGCATCTCACGAAAGGTATATGACACTCACTCAGTGGTCCCATCTAGGTATCTCTTCTACAAAACACCGTTCATCACATATCTCTCCACGGTACTTTTACAATTGACATTTCACAAACTGAGAATCTGACACTTGTATAACACATCCACCGATGTTCAACAAAGTAGGAATGAAGGCTAATTTTTCCCGTGGGTAAGCTTCACGTTACGAACATTATAAATGACGATTCATCGTTTTGATAAAAATCAGTGCAGTGTTTCATATGGCAGGACATAAATCCGTGTTGATTATAATCTTATGGTGTTTCTTATTCATTAGTATATATCCCTCGTCAATATAGACATTGAAGCTTGGATATATACCTTTGGAACATCACATTATGTACAATAAGAATTGCACTTTGTAAATTTTGCGACTACCAGTGGTACCTAAAACGACACGACATGAAGACAATATCGGTCTTACTTGGTCATTTCTATTCACATGTAAATATGAGATAGCCAAGAGTCTAAAAGTGTTGCAAAACGTACCATCATGAATTACCAGACAGATTGAAGAAGCCAACGCAGTGTGTCGTCAGCTTGGTTTGCACCACGCAGAGGAGGTAAATGCGATGTATACTTAATTTTTGCTCATGGGTGCAATTTAAAACTCTGGAACAATCCTAATACACGCATATCATCTAAATTGTATTGGAATAATAATATTGCCATTAGTTAATGACCATAGTTAGCATTTGTCAAAAAAATTAGGCAACCCAAATTGCATCCTATGGAGAAGGGACTGGGAACATCTGGCTTGATGACCTGAACTGCCTCGGGAACGAGACCTCTCTGTCCCAGTGTGCCCACAGTGTCTAGGGTGACCACAACTGTAAACATGAGGAGAATGCCAGAATCGTTTGCTACGGTACGTAATAAGCTCTTCTCAATCTTGTTGTCGAATTTGAGTAATAAATGTCATTGAACAGCACGGATGACCGTATGCTAATAAAAGCTTCAGTTTGAAGGAAGCTTATCCATTTCTACTTCCCCCAAAGGCTGGAAGGCTGGCTTCTCGGCAAGTCTCAGCAGCAGCATTGGCACGTCAGAGACTGACATCATCTTCAACGTCATCAATATCAACATCGGTGGCCACTATAACCAAACCTCCGGAAAGTTCCGGGTTCCACTCGACGGATACAACATGTTCTTTTTCAATGGTTACACATACTCTACTAATGAAATGTAGATCGATCTAATGATAAACAACTCATTGTATAAGGATAAGTGGGTGTGGGATGCTGGCAGCGGCAGAGATACTTACGACACTGCTAGTAACAGCATTGTCTTACACCTCAACATGGGAGACGAAGTGAACCTCAGGCTGCACAATGGCTACTACCTGTACGGTAGTTATCGCTCTACCTTTTCTGGATTTTTGTTGTCTGCCGTTTAGGCCCAAAACATGTGTAAAGACACCAAAGGTCGAAGATCAATGTCATACACTTGTGTACATGAAAATGACCTCTGTAATGCTTAGGTCACATTTGAAACGGCGCCCGTTCGGCATGTCCTCGGCGTAGACGCCGGCCGGCGTCATGACGCCGAGCGTGCGCCGTACTGTCAGGGTCACAATTAAATGTTCCTTTTAATACGGCTCCCTGTCGGGGCCTGCTTGTGCTCCGGCCTGCGGCTCTCATTAATATTCATAAACTTTTGCGGCCGGTTTCTGTCAGGGACCCGTCCGGTGCCCGGTCAGTCGCCCGTCTTGACCCGTGCGGCGTGTGGTAGGGTGCCGACCGGCTCTTACAGTTCGGCCGGGCAGCTGTCAGGTCCCTGGCGGGTTCCTGGCGGGATCCCGACGGGCTCCTCTCGTGTTTTTGAGCAGGTACATATATAAGCGCTGCACTGCCTGCTACCGTTCACTTCAAGTAAAGAGTACACGTCAAGTAAAGAGTAGACTGAAGTTGGCGATGCAGCGTTCAGTGCAACCTGCAAACAACTTACAAGCCCGTCTGAGATTGAGATTGGTGACAACCTACATGTAGGTCTTCTGGCATTGGTAGCTGAAGAAGAGAGGCAGGCAGAACTGGTGCGTCGCAAAAGTAACCGAGGGCCTACTCTCGAAAGTACTTCAACAGTGACGCAGGAAGTACTTCAGCAGTGACGCAGGAAGTGTGTCGTGGCAGCTCCTTGCTATTGAGCAATAAAACCACTGAATATCGTTACTTCTGTTGAAATTTGGACTGAAAATAAATGCCAATAACTTCTGATTCCATTTTATTACGAAGGCATATGATGTAACAAGAGATAATGTCAGACACATTCTATTCCTGTTATGATCTGTTTTATGAAGTTGGCAAGAGAGCCGTGCCGGCTGTTTTCCCTTGCCCTTCGACATTCTGACACACAAATACAAGGTGTAACACACACAAGTACACGATGTAGCACACACGTGGTGAACTGTGCGACGTAGTCTGAGGCAGGAGTTTATATATGCTCCCTATAACCCCCTTTTCCTGACCATCTGATGCACTGATCAGCACATGTGACGTCATAATCTTAGGCAGATGCCTGTTCGGCCGCCCGACGGGTCCCGGGCAGTGAGGTTACGGCGTCGCTTCGGCGTATTTCGCCGAACGGGGCCCGAAGTGTTTTTAACTCTGAGTTAAAATCGATTCGGCGACCGCGCGGGGCCAAAAATAGGCCGGCAGCCGTCGGGAAGCCCACCGGTCTCCGTCCAGGTCCCGTTCGGTAGTGCCAAAAAACACGCCGAACACGCGCCGAGCGGGCCCCTTTCTTGAATTGTGACCTAAGCATAATGTGTGCAGGAAAGTAAATCATCAAGGCAAGACTATCGTGTCTGTGTCTTTCCCAGTTGTCAAAGCTGCTCATTTTATATTGCTTTGAGAAGCATTTGCGCTAGTTGAGGTATACTTCATTGTATCAACACTCACAACTCCCTCTTTAGGTTACTTTGCGGCTAGGCTCAGCTGTCCATCGCTCACAATGGTTAATTGGTCTACTGTGTTTTTTTTCGCGTGCTCATCGTCATTCAATGCGAGTTTGCTGATTTTGGTTTGTTTGAATCGCTTGCGCTACAGTATACAGTTATATTCCAGGCGTCGCGCTATCGGACAGAAAAAAAATCTTCCTAGTTACCGAAGACTATCACAGTTCCAGCCACCGTTTTTTTTTTAAATTTACAACGCGCGTCGCGTTTTGTTTTAACTCATCAAGTACGGGTTACTAATACGTGGAAGGACAGTAGCTGCGAATACACCACTGGCTGAAATAATTACTCAAGACTATTTTTCATGAGGAAGAAAACAGATATTTACAATCCAAAGCCTTCATGAAATATAAGTTCTATAATGACGTTAATGCTCATGAAGAGCAGTCAAGAATGTGTGACAGCATCTCACAACAGGTATATGTCACCCACTCAGTGGTCCCAGTTAGGTATCTCTTCTACACCATTTATCACATATCTCTACACGGTACTTTTACAATTAAGATTCCACAGACTGAAAATCTGACACTTGTATCAAACATCCACTGATATTCGACAAAATATAGGAATGAAGACTAAATTTTTCCGTGGGTAAGCCTCACGTTACGAGCATTATAATTTATCGTTTTAAAAATAATCAGTGTAGTGTTTTTATGACGGCACATAAAGCCGTGTTGATAATTATCTTATGGAGTTTCTTATCCAGTAGTATATTCCCTAGCCTTGTCAAAATAGACATTGAAGATTGGATTTATACCTTTAGAACATCACATTATGTACAATAAGAATTGCACTTTGTAAAATTTACAACTACCAGTGGTACCTAAAACAATACGACATAAAGACAATATCGGTCTTAGTTGGTCATTACTATTTACATGTTGAGTAAATGTGAAGTATCTAAGAACGTCTAAAACTGTCGAAAATACGAACCATGATTTTCAAGGATCAAATTCCTTTATCAATTTGTACATGTAGGTAGCCAAGGAATTTTATTACCAGACAGTACAGTTTCTGTCACTAGCTAATCAAACTATGGCACATACTACAATGTACCTCATTTACATATCCAACATGCAACACTATCATAAATGATAGCCATACACAAAGTTTTTAGAACCCCTCGTCCCGCCCTGCCCGCTGTCTCCGTGGACAGGACCGCCCGGTAGTACGGAAGGCCAGCGGTGACCGGCCCGGCCACTCTATGACGTGGTTCGTGCGGAGAGTGGACATCTCTATAGCGGTGGTGGCTGAAGTGGCGGACTGGACACTGGTCAGATCACGGCGGTTACCTCTTCGTGATGCCCTGAAAAGCAATAAAAAGGCAGTGAATGTGGCTATATCATGGGTAGACATGGAGTAAAGACTTTATTTATTACAGAGAACTTTATTGACACAACAAAAGCACAACGACTGTCGTTAGGTCTTGACTAGACATACATACAGACACGTGGGTACCAAAGAATTGACCAACGTACAAGACTATAGATGAATCAACTCATATGATGAGAAAAGTACAGGATTGATGTCACTGTTTATATGTCATAATAAAGATATGCTAAAGTGCTTCAATGCTTTAAAATCTGTTTTGTCAATTAAAATGTATCAGTTAATTGTTTCTGACCAATCTACGTATTGACTGATTTATACGATATGCATATGGGAATCGTACTTTCAAGACAAGGGACAATATTTCTTTAAGGAACACCAAGAGGCAGATTTAGCTGAAATTGTGTCCCCACGTTAAAACAAGTTACGGAACTAAAATGTGCCAATTTGCAATTCAACACTTCTGACACAAATGATAAAATACCATGAACATGACTGGCCAACCGTGTACAGTACACAGATAACAAAACCCCCACAGTGACAAAAGCCTTTCATATTTTGTCTCTGAAGTACTTTGAAGAATCTACTCCATCAAAGGGACCAAACGCTAATGCGCTATTTTTCCATCACTTTTAAGTATATACACCTATGAATCTTTCTATGCACTCTTTGGGTTTGTCCTGGGCCGACCTCTTTGTACTTGTACCCGACGCATATCATCGGTAGGACATTTATCAACACAAACTCTAATATAAGCTGACATGGCTTATATTTATCAAGTGTGATCAAGTACATACTGTATCCATAGATATTACTGAATCCCTCAGAAACAAGTTGAA